TGTTATACTTACCGTTCGGGGTTTACGTATTACTCTCCTCCTCTGCCTCCTCTCATTCTCCTTCTTTACTGCACCTCCTCCTCCTCCTCTCTTTATTATCCCATTTGTTTTCCTTAATTAGCTTTCTTTGTTATGCTCTCTCTCTCTCTCTCTCTCTCTCTCTCTCTCTCTCTCTCTCTCTCTCAGAGTAATCTCCGTATAAAAGCTCCGTCCGTTTACCTGTTCGGAATGTAATTAACAACACCTCACCTGACCTGTTCTCTCACGCCTTCCACTAAGACACACAGACAGACAGACGGGCGGACAGACAGATAGATAGATGATAGATAGAATAAAAGTGGTGACAGTCACAATCCCTCACCCCTTTCCTGGTGAGGGAGGAGAAGGGGTGAGGAAGAGAAAGTGAGGGTGAGGGTAGAGGATAAGGAAGGAGGTGGTGTAGTGGGAGAGGGTGATGAGGAGAGAGAGAGAGTCTTAAAGTGACAGAATGGGTTAGTCTCTCTCTCTCTCTCTCTGAATAATGGTCATATACCAAAGCAGTCACTCTCTATTCACAAACACACTTTGGTAAATTCCCCATCAAGTTACGACTCAAGGTGATTCTCAAAAGGTTCCTAAGTTAAGGTATCCTGCTAGAGACGCATCTAAGAAGTTCATTAATTACGACTCAAAAGGTGAATTCTTAAAAGTTTCCTACGTTTAAGTGGATTGTGTGAATAAGGCACTTAACCCAACCAAACCTAGCAAATCTAAACCCTAACCAAACAAGCCCAACCAAATCCTAAACCTGACTAACCAAGCCAAATCTAAGCCTAACCTAACACAACCTAACCGAATCTAAGCCACAGGCCTAACCAAGCCAAATCTAAACACAATAACCTGAACAAAGCCTAACCAAATCTAAACCTGACACAACACAACCTCAACCTAACACGACCTGACAGAACCTAACCACAACCCTAGCCAAGCCTAACCGAATCTAAGCACGACCCCAAGCCAAGCCTGGCCAACTCTGAGCCGCAGGCCTGGCAAAGCCTGACAGGTCTGGGACCAGGCCTGACAGGCCTGGCCGGAGTCTGAGCCTGACAGGCCAGACCCTAACCCAGG